AATGCATCGTTTTTGCGGATGGACATTATATTAAGAATCAGAATCAGATAAGCTTTATTGTAGCAGAGCTTTCTTAGTTTACACATCCCCGTGAGCAATTTGATTAGTTGGCCTATCCAAGGCCGAATGGGGAGGCCAGATTCAGATAAGCCACAGTTGTCTTTGCGCAGGCAAACTGTTTTTCTCGTCAGTCTTGAGTTCTGCTAGTACTCTCGATGATCCAAAATGGTCAGATTTGTAAGCTTTCTGCTGGTCTGTGCTTATTAGCCTTCTCCAAGGTTGATTCCAACATGCTGGTGAGTTCCAGAAGCCACAAGTGGCCTAGGCAACACTGGGGTCACTCATAATTTGTTTCTGGAATAATTCACCCAGCTGTAAGATTATTCAGCCTCAATACATCTTCAGTTTCTTACAGTCCCAGAGCATATGATGTAAATCTGCTCCATCTTCATTACATCTATAGCATTTAGGGGAATGGGTTGGGTAAAACTGATGGAGTTTTTTAAGATACTAATTCGGTTTAACAGATTTATTTGTGTCAGTCTGAATCTCGTATTTGTAAAATCTTTTTCCTGTTTTTCCTTATTAGTTATATGTTCATATCTACAATGCTTGTTTGTCAGTAAATAAATTTGAGATATAATCTTTTTAGGAGAAATCATCTTTTCAACTTCTCTTTCTAATGGACTTTTACATTATATTTTTGGAAAAGAATTTCTGTTTTTGTCTTTTCTCCAGCTTTTCAGCTGTAAATATTTTTACAAGTCAGTAGGAGGACTTTAAATTCCATCCTCACAGATACCTCCTGTAGTAAATTTCTCTCATTCTTTCCATCTATAAGACATCCATATGAAAAATGAGAGGGTAAAGATGGGCTATGCCATCATGGGGTGTTGTGATATAGTCTGACATTTAATCCTAAACTTATGACAATTCTAACAACTTTATGTGTGATCCAAAACTAAGTTATTAGCTGTCCCTCCTATGTCTTTCCAATAGCCAAAGTATTTTAAACCTTTTAAAGTTAGTGGATGGAGCAAAGTCCTTTCAATGTTTGTCCAAGGTGGGATATATCCATCGTCCATCCATCCATCCATCCATCCATCCATCCATCCATCCATCCATCCATCCATCCATCCATCCATCCATCCATCCATCCATCCATCCATCCATCCATCCATCCATCCATCCATCCATCCATCCATCCATTTTCTTCCGCTTATCCGGGGTCGGGTCGCGGGGGTAGCAGCCTAAGTAGGGAGGCCCAGACTTCCCTCTCCTCAGCCACTTGGGCCAGCTCTTCCGGGGGAATCCCGAGGCGTTCCCAGGCCAGCCGAGAAACATAGTCCCTCCAGTGTGTCCTGGGTCTTCCTCTGGGCCTCCTTCCGGTGGGACGTGTCCGGAACACCTCACCAGGGAGGCGTCCAGAAGGCATCCTAAACAGATGCCCAAGCCACCTCAACTGGCTCCTCTCGACGTGGAGAAGCAGCGGCTCTACTCTGAGTCCCTCCCAGATGATCAAGCTTCTCACCCTATCTCTAAGGGAGAGCCCAGACACCCTACGAAAAAAACTCATTTCGGCGGCTTGTATCCGAGATCTCATTCTTTCGGTCACAACCCAAAGCTCATGACCATAGATGAGGGTAGGAATGTAGATCGATCGGTAAATTGAGAGCTTCGCCATTTGGCTCAGCTCTCTCTTCACCACGACAGACCTGTACAACGCATGCTTCACTGCTCATGCTGCACCTATCCGCCTATCGATCTCACGCTCCATTTTTCCCTCATTCGTGAACAAGACCCCAAGATACTTGAACTCCTCCACTTGGGGTAGGACCTTCCCTGACCCAGAGAGGGCACTCTACCCTTTTCTGGCTCAAGACCATGGCCTCGGATTTGGAGGAACTGATCTTCATCCCGGCCGCGTCGCATTTGGCTGCGAACCGCTCCAGCGAAAGCTGTAGATCATGATCTGATGAAGCCAATAAGACCACTTCATCTGCAAAAATCAGAGACGCAATCCTAAGGCCACCAAAACAGATCCCCTCAACACCTTGGCTGCGCCTAGAAATTCTGTCCATAAAAG